CATTTTTACAACCCGCATCATACAGATCAACAACAGATAGTCACTCAAAGCACTATGGCTGCCATACCATGACAAATATTGTCATTATATATATATGCCAATGCTGTGCAAATGTTGGAGCATTTGACGTTTGTAGGAAGAATAGCTCAGCTGCTTTGTAAATCGGAACAATACGTTAAGAGAAGTTTTGGTAAATGTTGTGTATTGCATCAGTGTGATTAGTCATATGAAGTTCTTTTGCCTTCAGATCTGCAAGTGGTTAGAATACAGAGGTTCGCTTTAATTAAACAAAAAGAAAGCAGGCTACAAACACTGATTAGCATCCGATGGAACCTGTAGAAAGAAACTTGAGACGCGGCTCTATTGGGCTAAGGAGACGTCTCGTCTCTGATAGCACAGTTTAACTTTGAATGAATGATTAATATTCTTAGCGTAGCTTTTGCAGAAATCATTGATTTTATCTAATTTATTTTGTTGGATTTTTGCAAGTAGTTTTCTTGTAGTTTTATTTTACTCAGAAAATTTAGATTAAACCTGTGAAGGAGACGAATCTGGTCGAAGCCCGATTTAATTTTTTGACCCCTAAAAGAGACCATTTTAAACAGAGCAGATAATTACGGGCATCGAATACGCTCATCAGTACATAATTTTTAAAAGTTGCTTGTATAATTGATCTAAAACACCAACATAACATGACAGTTAGTTCTGAATTCCTCCGAGCGATCAGAGAAGTTAAAATTATGCCAATTAAAGGAGAGGAGAGGGGAATATGACTGTACTTCTCGCCGCTAGATCGTTCTTCGTTCGTGTGTTCGTGTCGTAAGCTAAGGAAAAGTCTAGTTTCTTTAATTATTCTTTTTTAATAGCTCCCTTAGTTGAAAAACATCAGCGTCCTTTTGCATATTAAAATTAATTGATTATCTGGGCTTAGTTACGTGATTAATCACACCATCAAACTAAGTTTCCTATGATAGTTATTTTATAGCAAGTGTTATTTCAATATGGTCAGGGGTTCATATGGAATAGTATCCTTCTGGATACTTGACAAAGTTATTTTGCTTTCAAACTTTTTTTAGTGGAAAGGATACTGGGAACATTTTTATATATTATTGCTTTTAAAATAAGTAGAACTATTAGCCATTGCTGTTATATTCAAACAAGCTCTGTTTACCAGTGTTTTTCCTGCATTTTGTCAGTCATGTTTCAAATGATATCGGGTACTTCCAGAATCATTGGGTTGGGGTGTGCGGCCCGCTTCCCAAAACCCTTACCATATTTATGACCAAAGTTTGCGACTTTCTCTACCCTGTTTATGACCTTTCCAAAACTTTGAAACCCTACTTTTGACCGTTGCGGCTGGCACAGTTGCCCTAAACATAATTTATGAAGGACTTTTGTTGATGGTCTTACGGATATTGATGAAAAAAAATAGCTTCTTCTAAAAAATTCAAGACTAGACAGGCAAAGCCATGCCCTGTTTATGACCTAAACGGCCAAAATCAATACCCTATTTATGACCAAAACGGGCGAAAAATCATACCCTTTGGGGCTGCACATCCTATATAGGCCATATAAGGGAGTACCACCCCCCCGGGAGGATGTAGGTAGGCTGAGCAAGCTATGATGAGATGCGTGTTGTAACGGTTTTACCAAGAAACATGAAGAGGCTTCTGACTTTGATGTCTCGTTTTTTAGCGCATTAGCTGACAGCAAGGCAACACTTTCAAGTATAATTTGATCCGTAACTCAAACCCGGAGGAAGTACTCCCAGAAAAATCGGGTGGGGGTGTGCGGCCCACTTCCCAAAACCCTTACGCTATTTATGACCAAAATCTGCGATATTTCCTACCCTATTTATTACCTGACCAAATATTCGAAACCCTATTTACCCTGTTTCAGACCTGCGTTATGATAAGTTCCCTAGTTCAGACCAATCTTAAATTACCGTAAACATAATTTTTGACGGGCTTTTGTTGATTTTCTTTTCGATAATGACGAAAAAGTGGCTTCTTTTCAAAAACATACCCATATCAAGGCTAGAGTGCAAAAACCATACCCTATTTATGACCAAAATGACCAAAATCAGCTAAAATCGATACCCTGTTTTTGACCAAAACAGCTGAAAAACCATATCCTTTGGGGCCGCACGTACCTATATAGCCCATGTAAGGGAGTACCCTCCCCCTCCCCCGGAAGCTCAAACTGCAAAGTACAGTAAACCTGTCATCTCGAAAAGTCTTCTGCTCGGCCGAAC